GAATATATGAGTTATGCCAGGAATTTTTTTTTTTTTTTTATTTCTCATCCTTACTACCGATAGTATAATAGATGCATTAATAAATAAAATTAAACTGAAAGAATATTTTCTTTCTTTCAAAATTTAATGGTTAAAATTCTTATATCTAAAAATAAAAGGTGATGATAACCTTCTACCTAATGTGATATTACCTTTTTTTTATCATTTCCCCCAAGCAAGGTAATAAAGCCACTAAGACACAAGGGGTTACTGAGCATGAAAAAATATGAGAAAAAATAGTATTAAGGAGAGAGAACAGTAAAAGAACAAGAATTAAAATGACAGAAGATAACAATTGACATTGCATTTAAATTTGTGAAGATCACAGTTGACTGGAAAGCAAGAAGCCAGAGGAGGTTTCCACAAGCGAGAAGTGTAAGAGAAGAAACTGTTAGCACAGAATTTATGGTTACATTTAATCATTTCAGCTGTAAAATGATGAGACCTTGCCACCAACCTAGTGGATTTAGTGACAAGGGTGAAGCATTCTAGGCTCATCTGTCCTACAAGCCCAAAATTAAATGTGAAGCAGGCTTGATTGGGGGAGTTACTTATTTGTAAACAGTTTCATACATCTTATTCAGTTATCCACTGATTAAAACATCACCATATATAACAGGGCAGTGGCCCTGGTTGAGTCATACTAGTGCACAGAAAGTGATTAGTGACTTGAGGTATTGAGAATAATTCTAAGCAAAGAAGTAGAGATATTAGGAGGAGAAAAATATGAGCGAGTGGTTAATAGGATTGGACTCTGATGGAAAAAAAATCTGTGTTAAAAATATTAGTTTAAACCCATAAAATACTTATAAGAGGACCTCAGAAAAGTTTGAACTCAAACTAAGTAAGATTAAGTAAGATTCAATAAACTGATACTCCACCCAACCCAACTCCATAACCCCAAGGAAGTTGGCATGAGATAACTAATGAGTTTGTCAAAAGTCCACAGGATTTTCGGTAACTTTGGGGTTTGTTTGTTTGGTACCCTATCAGGCATATCAATGTTGAATTCAATGAAAATTTTGGAAACTTAGAAATCCAGGCAAAACTGAAAAACACTTTAGGGTATGGCCATCTTGGTTATTTAACAAGGAGGTTCTTTATTTGAGAAGCTAATCAATCATGTCTATTCCATACCAGCACGGGGTACTTCAACTTGGTTAGCAAGCTTATCTTGCTAGCTCAATTACGACTGAATAGTGAGTTCAACCCTCACTGGGCACCCCTGTGCCACATCTAAGCTACTCTTAGAAAATTACCATACTCGCATGTGCAGAAATGAGAGTTACCCAGATCTTCATAGTGTGTGGCCATGAGAAAGCCAGCAGCTCGACCCATACTCATTGTGAATTAGAAAAAAATCTGTCGCAAAATTCATTTGCTATTAAGACATTAGCACTCCCACATTTTCTAATAGACGTCTCTCAGTGCCTCAAGGATAGAAAAGTGATTGGGATGAAATAGCACCATTACTGTTGTATGATTTTTACATTCCACCTTTAATTGAATTTGTAATTTTTCAACTGTTTCTCTTCTATATCTGTTGATATATCTAAGATGAGGTATTGTAACTATTTACACTATATACATCATTCAGACTGTTGTCTTCATCTTTAATGCCATATTCATGACATTTCGGTCACTGTATGCTCCAGCCTTCTTCAGGATCTGTCTATATTTCTGAGATGAGGTATTGTAACTATTTACACTATTTACATCATTTAAACTGTTGTCCTCATCTATATTGCCATATTCACAACATTTCAGTCACTGTACGCTCCAACCTTCTTCAGGTGACATATGTTGAAATTTCAAACAATCTGCTCCCCATTGTGGACTAAATAAAGGGTTCATTTTGAAATTTGAATGTATATCACCTGGATAAGATCAGTGTACAATGGCTGAAATATAGTGAATATGGCAATAAAGATGAGGACAAGAGTCCGAACAATGTAAATAGTATTAATAGCTTTTTTTTTCTTCTGTTGGCAGGTTCACACCTTCTTCAAAATAATAAGCCAATATTGAAGAAGCAATGATCAAAATCTTGCCCAGATCAACAAATCCATGGCCTGTCATTTCTGACAGGTACACAATCAATACAATCCACTAGATAACATGAATTCAGGTGAATTGATTAACTTTTTTATATAAACTGTTTGCAATTCATTCAAAGCCAGTAATTTTTTTTTTTTTAAATTGTAAGAAGTTTTTGGAGATAATTATTTACTAATAATTAGTTTTACTAATTAACCCATAGCTGGGGGTGGAAGAGGTGGATTCATATCTTTTCCAATTGTATTTGTGGATAAGTGAATATAACATACCCAAATGGAATTGGAACTTGGCTTTCCAATTTCACATTTCAAGCCATTATCCATTACACTACCTGCACATCCAAGCTTACATCACCTGGTATCCCCAAGCGATCACCTATCTAGGTACTGACCAGTCTCAACATTGCTTAACTTTGATGATCATACAAGCACCAATGTCTTAACATGTAAGCCAGAATTACAGTGAAAGAAACGAACCCACAAAATTGATTGCAATGAACACAAATCACCTTCACTGAAGTGTATGGTACAATTTTTGAAACTTAGACAAGTGAATTGTATTTGGTGACCAGCACAAGTATGGGTTATATCTAGTGGTTACATCCAGGTTATAGATGACCATCCATCTATTCCAGGTGATTACATTTATTGCAATTAATATTTTTAATTAGTTTTTCTTTTTGTTGGCAATTTATCCAATCCCTATTCAGATTTAACTAACATTTAGGATGTGGAAAGAAAACAACACAATTTTATGGAGCAACACCAACATTTATTCTTCAAAATAAAATCCATCATTCTCGGCGAACTTCTCTCAGCAACCAGCCAGCATCTGAATCTGTTCCAGATACCAGTCTGTCGGGTGTGAATCAAAAAACTGTAAACAAGCTTCCTTCACTTCATCAAAAGTGTTGAAGTGCTTGTAGCAGAGGAAGTGTGCCATTAAGCAGAATAGGCCATAGTCATTCATCGCAGTATTGGGACTGAATGGTGGATGTGGAAGAGTCTCAACACCATCCATCTGTTTGAAATTCTCCTTAGTCAACCTGGCAGTGTGTGACCTCGCATTGTCTTGCTGAAACAAAGCCCGACCTTGATTGACCAAAGCAGGATACTCCTTCTTTAGTGTGTCATACATGCAGTCTAGCTGCTTGCAATAAATTCAGTGTTGATGGCGCAACCATTTGAAACAAACTTGAAATGCAGTACTCCTTGGAAATTCTACCAGAGATCAAGACTTTTTATTTTATTTTCGCTTTCCAAGTGAGTCAGAACTTTCTGGCCAATCTAGTAACTCAGTCGAGATCTTAGTGTATATGCATGAACAGTCTCCAATTGGGTTCGTTACTTAGTTCATATTACATTACAATAACTAATCAAACAAATCTGCAATTGTGTAGTAATGTGCAGGTTTTTGTGTACAACGCATGACATGCAATACCCTGGTCTGTTATATTTGGCTACTTGTGACTAATAGAATTGAAAAGATTTTTAGCCATTCAACAAAATTAAGGAGAACTCAATGAGACACCTGATGGTCATCCCAAAAGAGGAATTTGCAAACTGTTTTAAAGAGACGCTAAAATAACTGCATGGGGTTTCAAAGGGTGAACACTGAAAAAGACTAAGACACCATCACCCTAGGTAGTCCATTTATTTGTAAATTTTGAATGTCTGGATCATTTCTGGACAAACCTCATATAAATGCAAAAATGTTTAATGTGCGTGTAAACATACAATATGACCCTTGTCCAAATTTTCGACTCACTGGATAATGATTAACCCCGACAAACAACCCCCACCCCTCATTGCATTTCAATTCTCAATCTTGTCAGTGTGCACCAAAAGCTGGGAAAGGGCCTGCTGCATGCTCACAATCTGACAAGATGAAAACAAACATTACATCGAGAAATAGGAATGTGAACCCTGTTTCCCATATTATATGTAGGTGTTTTTATTCAGGGCGTCGCTTACTTACCTGGGTAGCTACATTCATCTCACAGATCAGCTTTTCCCCCTACCAACTCCTCACCATTTACACATCTAGACATGTGATTGGCAATACAAATGGGTGGCATTGAAACCATGCAATGGACAAGAGCAGACCAGAACTCACTCCAACCCCAAGTGTTACGAGGTGTTAACTTACTCCACCCCATAAAAGACGATAACTCAAAATACAACTGAGTTACGTCTTTTGTCTGCTAGTTCAACCGTGGCACTTCGACATGGTGATAAGTTGACATGCACATGGAACTCATGTTTTAAATCTAAACAAATCTTTGCCGTTCTCAGGCAGTAAACAAATAAAAGTTATTTTGAGTTAAAATACACTTGTCTTTTATTTCCATTCATTTTTGTTCATCTCAACAACCTGGGATATAACACCAAGCATGACTATTAATATAGACCTGCACCTGGATACACCCTATTTTTGGTTTTGTTGTCACTTCATCTGTAAAAACACCTCATCCACTCTTTTACTTCCCCATTCCCCTTTGGTTAAAAAGTAAATGCTGCTTAGAAACTAGACTCCAAAAGGAACTATCTGTTGGCTATAAAACAGAAACACTTAAGATGAAACCACATCTTCCTTTTCTACGTGGATGCCCATAGTATCACACAGGAAAGAATAATATATATATATTTTTACCTCAATCTCTTCAAAAAATATTACCTGTGTATAGTGCACTGATCACTGAAAATGTATGATTTATAATCTCTTCAAAAGATTTTACCTGTCTATAGTGCAACCTCCTATTTTTGTGGTAAAATAACTGATGATAAATACTTGCATTATAGTCGAGTATATTTGGTAATTAAAACAAAGAACATTTAATGGATGAATTACAAGAAAACTAAGTTTATTTACCAAAAGTTGTAAAGAGAGGAAAAAAAAGATGTCTACTGTCTTAGAATTTTTCTCTTGTGCTCTGTGACCTTTCGACGAGGCACATGGACCAATGCTTCCGGCCAATTCTTGTTGAGTTTCAGTTCTAACATGATGTCTACCACTTGGTTTAGGGTTAAGCTTTTGTTTCCTATTGACCATCTGCAAATAGACACAAGAGAAAATACATTTATCAATTAAGAAAGAAAATAACAACATAAATCAAGCACCTGATTGACAGACATTTCACAACATACGTCATGAGGTATACAGATAACATCGACACAACCAGTAAAAACAGAGAATTTAAAAATTGAATAAACCCTGTATTATTCTACTGGCAAAATCTTTGCTGAAGCTAAATAAATAGGGAATCATTAAGTTTATAAAAACTTTCCTGTTTCTTATTTTTTATGTTTCGTTTATTTTTTTACTATTATTATTTTTATTATTATCATGTATCATTATATATATATATATATATATATATATATATATATATCTGACTGAATAAGTTACAAACATTATGTGTCTGCTTATTTTGATCATAATCCTTTCATATTCACAAATATTTTCCCATATATTACAATTAAGTAAGTCAAGAAATGCACTGTAACAGTGAGAATTACTTTTATTTCCCAAATACTTTCCATCTCTTTCTGAGATCATCATCAGGGGTGCAACTGGTAAAACTAAAACTATGTGTAGTTATCTATTACTGATTTTTTATTTTGTGTTTAAATGCTATGGCTGAGTTATGCTTTAGGGTTAATTAAAACATGAATAGTTATCCATTATGAGGACAAGAATTTGTACTGATATGTTTTTTTTTATACAGATAAGTTGTAAATTCTTTGGATTTTAGTTCTATATCAACATCAAGGAATGAGTTTTTGTTATTAACCATGAGTTCATATGTAAATTTTAGTGTTGAGTATTTTTCAAAAGTTGATTTTTAATTTTTTTGTCCTTATTTTTTATCAAAACAAAAGTCCATCAATGTACCTTGTTTAGATTTCTGGTTTATCAGTTGTTTGAAACATTTTGTTTTCAATATAAGACATGTAAAAGGACATGAATAAATTATAATTTATATTTATAAAATATGTGTGTGTGTGTGTGTGTATTTTGGCAGCAACCCTTCTTTCATGCACATTTCATTGGATATGACAGACAAGGTGCTTTGATTTAGTTTTTATACAATTTCTCATGTGATCTAATAATTTTTTTTTCTTTTCAGATGATAAATTATATAAAAGCTGTCCAAAATTATTAGGTCACATAAGAAATTGTAAGGCAATCATGTTTGTTTTGTGTTGGAATCTTTGTAAAACTTTCTTTTTCAGCAGAGATGCCTCAGTGATTAATTTTTATGGAAATGTAAAAATTTGAAACTTAAACATTTTTTTTAGTAAAATTTAGTCATGAAAATATTGGTGGTTATTACAAAAAAGTAGCATTTTCTCAGATTTAAAAAAAAACCTATTCATTATAAAAGTAAATAATTTATATGTACTGAAATTTTTATTTAAATTGGTTAATTCTCTGATTCTTGCTAATTTAAAAAAAAAATGCTGCCCTTCCCAACCCAAATTTTCCTTTGAGGGTCGGTGACTCCCAGGTTGGGAAAGTTTGAAATCGATATGTAGTAGATTGGGGGGGGGGGGCAAGATCCTAGCGCCAGCCCTGCTTCCATACAGAATTTGATGAGTGGTACATGGACATTGGACAATGAGCGCAGGGTTTCAAAATACCCAGTCAAGTTAGAGTAGAGTGCAAGGTTGAATTACAAGCTTGGCTGGATAAGGGTTAGCTTCTGTTTGACTGATTCATTTTCTACGGTTTATCAACACATTGCAGGTTATTTAAAGACAGAAAATATATTTTTAGATTATAACAATTTTTGGGGAGAGATAATAATGTTTTAGTGATACAAGTCTTACTAATTAACCCATAGCTGGAGAAAGAAGAAGTGGATTCATACCTTTGAGAAGGAACAAGTTCCACTGAGACAGCTCCTTTCCCAGAACTGTTGCTTTGTGGAACAGACTCCTGAGAGGATGCTTCCCCGACAACTACAATCTTGGTCTCTTTAAATCTAGGGTCAACCAATATCTATCCTGCATCTCATAATATACATTTCTTACTTCCTTCTCCCTTACAACAATCTCACTAAGTAACCTTGAGTGGCTCTTGGGCCTTGTATTGGGTGAACTAACAGTAAGCTTAAGACCACATTACATTGAAACACCAATTACTGTACTATCATTGAAGTTAAGCAACATCAAGCCTAGTCAGTACATAGATGAATAGGTATGGGAATACCATGTACGGATGGTGGAATGGATAATGGCCCGGAATTGTTAATCAGAGAGCCTAGTTCCAATTCTGGTTGGGGTCATTATATTTACTTATGCACAAATATCCTTGCCAAAAGTATGAATCCACCTCTTTTTCCCATCCACTAGCTAAGTATTAATTAGTAAATCATTTACTAATATAATTATCAATATCACTAAATCATTATCTCAAAAAAAATTGTTATAATCTAAAAATTTTGAGTTGATAAGCCATAAAAAAAACAAATCAATATTAAAGTATTTTATGATAGAAATGAAATAAATAATGCATTAAAAGATATTTTGTATAGAATAATTTTTTCAGGGGCAAGCAATGTAGACTTTGCTTACAAATACATGTCACCAAGATATATATTTTTTTTAATTGATTTCACCATAAGCAAGGCAGTAAAGCCACTAAAACACCAGGGGTTACTGGGTGTTGAAGATTTAGAAACAGAAACATTAATAATGAGCGGGAAGAGGAAAGAGTAATCAGGAGGACAGTAGATAGCAATTGTCATTGCATTTAAATTTTTTTAGATTAAAGTGTTGATAAGCCATAGAAAAAAAAACAACAGTGAATAAAAAAGAAAACAACAAAACAAAGCAAAAATTTTGAATCTTACTTTAAGTAACGGTCCAAAGGAAGTTTAGCCATTTTTATTTTTTCTCTTTTAGCTTTGGCCAAAGTCAGTGGCTTGGCATTGACTTTGTCAACCAATCCACCCAAAATGTAAATGGCATTGTGGTCAAAAGTGGTCAATTCTTGTGGGGCATCAGGTGTCAAATAAACCAGATCACTGTGTGGATACAAGTCTAAATAACTCTGATTGGTGAGAGTGAAGAGATATTCGTCTTGACTTCGATTAAGGCAATTCTTGTCAAATATCTTCTGAAAATAGCTGTCCTTGTGGTGATTACAAAGCACAAAATGAAATGGATCCCGATGTATCTTGTTAGACCCATGAGACAACAGGAACTGGTCAAATAGTCGGACTACATCCTGTGGTCTCATGACATGTTCAAAATTCATGTCAAAGACAATCGGCTGGCCAAATAACATGGAATGGGCCAAACGGGAGTAGTAGAAATTGTTCATTGTTTTTTTTCGTACAAACAGACAAATGGTGTTTTTTTGCAATTCTGTGTAGTCAACATTTTCCTGTTTCTGGTTTTCCTGCATACGTTTCTGCTTCTTTTGTTGTCTGGCCAAATAATTGACTTCAGTTTTTCTGAGATAGCGATAATGACGTTTTCTGGCATTAGCTGTTGTGAACTGAAGCATCTCAAGCCAAAGAGCATCAGTCATTTTCTCAGGTACCTGTAACAAAAGAATTGTTTAAGAAAAAAATTAACTTGAAAAAATTAAATTAAAAAATTAAACTTGACTGGAATTGGAATTTGGCTTGCCTATTTCTCATTCCTAGCTGCTATCCATGATACCACAATGTACATCTAAATGCATATTACTGAATGGAAATGAATGATAAAAGAAAAGATTAGAGTTTTCTCCCTTACATTAATGAGTTCCTTACTTCCTTTAAAACAAAATGTAAGTGAAGTTAGTACAATTTATGCCATATTGTGTGCCTCAGAACCGGTCAGCTGATGTAGAACTAAATCACCGAAGACTTTAAGAGTGAAATAATTGAATTCTACTGTTACAATGGACACAGACATTACAATTATGATTTTCATTTATTTATAGCTTTTGTGAATGATCTTCATTTTCTTGCATCAAGATCAGCACTGAGTTATCACAAATTCTTCTGTGGGGAAGGCTAAAAATGGATGCTTTGCATTCTCAAAGCACTCTTTTAAGTTAATACTTGATGCTTTCTCGCAAAACCTAGATAAATATTAAGTATACAACATGTAGAATTATTAATATTATATGCAGAGCCTGTTACAACGTAATCTGAAAATTGTGACATTTGATTTTCTTGGTGGGTAACTAAGTGGAAATACTGAATAGATTTTTTGAATGCAACATGCAATTTACAATGTCTTTGATGCTTGTTCTTTAGGCTGGGATTAGTATAGTATCTATTTCTCTGCTCAGCCATGTTCTCATCTTTGGACAGTATTTGACAGTGTTGGTTCCAATCTGCTAGGAATGGCTGCAAAACACTTTCCCCTCCCCAATTTATAGGTAGAAGCACACAAATGCATGCTGGGATGTTTTCCTAACCAATAAAATAGGCCAGTTTTTGGTTTTATCTGACTCAGCCATAGTCTGTTTTGTCTCGAAGTAAGAATGCTACATTCGCTTATCTGAACTTGCTCTTGTATGTCAACCCTAATTTTTAGTTTGCATTCTTTTGCCTTATTACTGTTGCTTTGCCTTATTACTGTTAATTTGCTTTCTTTATATTATTTTTTTCCCCGGTTATTTTCTTTTTCTTGTTAAGGCATATTACAAACATTGTCAATTCTATTTGTTGGACAGTTCTGTCATTTATTTTATATTTAACCATGGCCACTCACTCTACAGACAGAACATTTGGCAGCCAATTTTGAAAATATTCTTCTTATTTGTGTTAAAATGCTTAATAAAAATCTGAATAAAACAAAAAGGTTATCAAAAAATATTTAATGTCTTAAAAGTTACAGCGAGTTAAAACTTGAATATTTATCTTAAATATCAGCATCAACATATAAAGCAAGTGAATTAGACACTACAAAGGTAACATAGAAAATATGTGCCATGTCTATTCCAGACGTAAGCGATCATGGCTCTCCACAACTTCCTGTCTTAGCAATGTTGGTCTTTTGCTATCTCTTTTAAAGCCTCTTCTGCCAACCACTTACACAAGATTGTTAGGTAGATTATGCAATGCTTTCCTCTGTCCCTCTTGCTATCATGTTAAAACATTGGTTCTTGTAAGATCACTGAAGTTAAGCAATGTCAAGCCTGGTTAGTTCCTAGATGGGTGACTGCTCGGGAATTGATGCTGTTAGCTTGGATGTTCAGGTGAGATAATGCATAATGGCTTGTAATCAAAAATTGTAGAGCCAAGTTCCAATTCCAGTTGGATTCCTTATATTCACTTACACACAAATACCCTTGTAAATAGTATGAATCCACCTCTTCTCCCCCTCTATGGGTTAATTAGTAAGACTTGTATCAGTAAATCATTATCATCTTCAAAAAATTTTTACAATCTAAAAATATTTTCTGACTTTAAACAACCTGTAAATACCAGATAAACAATAAAAAAAAAACAATAAAAAAACCCTCCTGCTTTCAATATGACCTATGAGTGTAAAATTCTCTAAGCCCTCTTTTTTCATTATGTGTTCTGGAAATTTCAACTGTCTTTTCAGGATTCTAAATGTGTCCTTTTTGTTTCCATTTTTCTTAAAACTTTGTTGTTGCTCCCATGTTTAGTCCATCCTTCTGTAGAACCACATTACTTTAGCCCCAAGTCTCTTCTTCATCTGTGAGCATTCATTGCCATAAAGGAGGACTAATATTACATAACAGACCAGTACTATTTTCTTTGCTTCTGATGAAATTTTTCTGTTTTCTCTATTCCAATGTGCTTTCGAATTTCCGTGTCATATTTTCTTTCCTCTGCTAAAACACTTCCTGGATATTTAAATTTTTGTACTTGCTTGAATTTGTAGTTTACATCTTGGACCAATCGTTCTGCTGACAAGTATGCATTCTGCCTTCTTACAATTGATGTTTAGTCCTTTCTTCTTGCTTTCTTTTACTATCTTCTGCAAGAATTCCTACAGTTTCCACTTTTTTTTCAGGTTCTATCTTAACATTTAACACTCTGCATCATTTATAAATATTACTTCTCCTTTTACTATATGTGGAATTCCATCAAAATATAGTGTTTTATATATTAGTTCTATATATTTGAAATTGCAGTAGCCTGGGTCTTAATTTCAGTCAAGATTGTTTTAGGTGTTGCCATAGAAGGATCTGATTACACAACCAAGAAATTCAAATTCAACTTACATTAGAAGGACTAACATTTTGCTTGGTGAAAATAAACACCTGCAGAGTGCTAAAGGTTAATTAGCACAAAGGAAGAACATCCAAAAATAACCTAAAAGGCTTAAATACTTACTCAGGTGAGGCCAGTATTATAGGCAATAAGCATACAAATGTATTTAATTCTTGACCAACTGTAAGTGTCAGTGTAATGTAAAAAGCTTTAGAAACTCTTGCATTTGTCACCGGGAGAATTTATGGTTTTTGGTCCGTTTGTTACAGCAAGTTAGCTGAGTGGATTTTGCAATTTACTCTTTTTATTACAAGCATAATCCTTTTCTTTAATATTGATTGGTTGTTTTTTATTGCTTATCAACCCTTTGTGGGTTTATTTAAAGCCGAAACACATTTGTGATTGTAATAATTGTTCTTTTTCTTGTAAATGAATATTGCACTAACAATTTTTTTAGAATAACAATGCTTTATCCAGATTCAAGTTCTACTATTTAACCACTAGCTGGGGAGAGGAGAGGGATTCATACCTTACCCAAAGATATTTCTGTATAAATGAATGTAACAAATTCAGCTGTAATTTGACTTTCTGATTTCTCATTCCAAGCCACTATCCATTACACCACCCACACACCCTTTTACTTAAATAATAATGTGTTCAATCCCAAGTAACAAATCAAGATTTTGAATAGTGATTTTTTAACCAAGCAGATATTCCTTACTTAAGAGGTTGTTGTAACTATCTTCTTACAGCTTTCCACTGTTTGGCTTTATTCTAGAATAAGAAATCTTTGTTAAAATAAAAATTTTAAAAAATTAAAATGTTTATGAATATCAATTCCCGACTAAGAAAAATTTATTAAATATCAAGAATATAAGTAAAAATATGACAACCCTATTTTATTGGCATACACAGTTGCAAAAACTGGAAAAAAATTTGTACAGCCCAATTCAAAATTGGATGAAGCAGCATAAAACAATGTTGCTTAAAAATCTATTTAAAAAAAAGATTTATTAAAAAAATAAAATTTATTAAAATTTTTTTTTCTACAACCCAATTCAAAATTGGATGTAGCAACATAAAACAGTTTTAAGCAAGACATTGTTGAAAAAATAAAATTAAAAAAAAAATAAAAATCACAAGTTTTACTTACTGTAATACCTCCCATCTGTAAGAGAACTTCATATTCCAACTGAATAATTTTCAGTTTTTTCTTCATGTCCGGATCTAAATTCTGGATAACTTCCGTTGGATCTTTGTTTTTGAAATCTTCATTTAGAGGTTTAAAATAATCTTGGGTGAGCAATAAGCGAGCTGGTGGTGATGTTGCCACAATTTGAGGTAGTTGACGACTACACTGTGGCATTACCATCTGAGATGTCAAAGTGGTTACTCTTCTGGAGTTTAATGTGAATGTTAGTCTCTTCATACACTGAATCAAGTTCCTTAAAGCCATGTTTCCTTGATTTAAAAAGACATGAAAAATAAATTTTAAAAAGTAAACACTGAAATAATAACAATGTTCACAACAATATTATATCTTCTCATTTAAAATGGGGGAAAAAAAGATGATGTCTGCCAGATGGAGGTGAATGCGTTATCTCTAAAAGCTTTCCCACTTTTGTTCGGATATGATTTTGTATCCTACTAACACTCATCACTATCATTATCTTCACTAAGTGATAGTCGTAAATTTGTTAGAAGTGGATTCATTTTCATTCTAATACTTAATTATATAGGCAGGACTCACATTTGAGAACAAGTTACTGAAATGCCTGAAATTTTAAATATATTAAAAGTATTATCATATTTTTCTTTTAAATGGGGCAAAGAGTGATTTGAGAAACTTCTGATATAAAAAATTATGACTGGTTTATTCAACATTTCAAATTCATCAAACTAAACTTTTGTTAAAAAAAAAAAATTTTTTCCTTTACTTATTTCTAATACTAGCCTGCCACCTGCATTTCTCTAAGTGCCTGCTGTAGTGTAGGTATAAATGGGTGAAGTGGTGTCTTCCCTGGGAGACACTTTTACAGGGGCAGCACTTTTGGGTCTGGTGTATAAGCTGTATTAAAATAAAATTGAGTAACTTAAATGATGACATATATATTTAAGCCATTGTTATCTTGGTCAAACAATAAACATTATCCAGTGATGTATTCAGGGCTTTCTTATCATTATATATATATATATATATATATATTTTTTTTTTTTTTTTTTTTTTTTAATCGATTCACCCCAAGCAAGGTAGGAAGCCACTAGCACGCAAGGGGTTACAGAAGATTTGGAGCAAGAGCAGATAGGAGTGATAGAGGAAAGGATGAGGAGAAGGATAGTGGATAGATCAAGGCAACTGTAGATGTCAATTGACATTACATTTGAATAGTTGGAGATTATAGCTGTCAGGAATAGGGAAAGGAGTTCCACAGACGAGAGGTGCGAGATATGAAGCTATTGGAGTAGAAGAGATGGCTACATTTAACAGTTTCAACAGTGAAAGGGTGAGAGCAGGATGCCAGCCTCATAGGACACTTGAATTCATGAAGTCTGGGAACCAGCGAAAGCAGCTTATTGAAGCAATTACTATGAAAGTATTTGTAAAAAAGACAGAGGGAGGCGATGACACATCTGTGAGAGTGACTGCAGATGAGATGCCAGATCAGGGCCAATTACATTGCATATCTGTCTCTGGATCTTATCAAGAACCCCGAGGCAAAAAGAAGGGGCTCCAAACCATATATGGCAGCAATACTCCATGCTAGGGTGAATGGTTGATTTGTAGATTTGAAGGATCGATTCTGGGGAGAAATATTTCCTGGCGCGGCACAGGGAGCCAACTTTCTTTGCGGTGGACGAAGCAACTGACTCAATGTATTTGTTCCATCTCAGGTCAGGTCGAGAAGTTGAGTGTCAGACATTCTAATGGGGTGCAGGGAAGGATCTCTGTGGTGATTAATAGAGAGCAGTTTTGTTTTTGAGGCATTAAAGTTAACCAGCCAATTCCTGCCCCAGTTCACAATCGATTGGAGATCCTTTTCGAGACGAACGGACATGTTAGTTTTGTCAGCAACACTAGATTTGTTTTTGAGGCAGGAGCAAATTGTAGTGTCGTCTGCATAGATGCCAACTTGGGAATCTATGGCGTCAGGAAGATTGTTGATGAAGATAAGGAACAGAGTGGAGCCTATGATGGAGCCTTGAGGAACACCTGCATTCGTGGGATAGGAGCTGGAAGAGAATCTGTTGAGAACGACCTTCAGTTCATGGTTTGATAGGAATGATTGTATTAGGTCAAACAATTGACCTGTAATACCATAACCCTGGAGCTTGCGAAGAAAGCCGGCATGCCAGACCCTATCAAAGGCTTTGGAGATGTCTAGGGCCACGGCACGAGCTTCGTTATTTTGAAGAGCTTGGTAGACAATTTCAGTGATGGCTGTAAGCACATCAGCTGTACATCAGGCAAAGCGGAAACCATATTGCTTGTCTGAGAGCAGATCATGGGATGTAAGGTGGTTAACCACCTCGGCATTAATTAGGGCTTCAAAGACTTTGCCAAAGAGGGGTAGGAGACTGATAGGACAGTAATTAGAAGGGTCAGAAGGGTCGCCAGAGTTCTTAAAGACAGGAACAATCGATAAGGACTTCCAGCAGTCTGGAAAACAAGATTCCTTGAGGTAGTAGTTATATAATTTGGAGAGGGTGGGCACCAGTTCAGGTGCGCATTTCTTCAAGACAATGGCTGGTATCCCATCTCCACCACTAGCCTTGTGGGGGTCTAAGTTAGAGATAATACCCAATACCAATGATGAGGTTATGTGCAACCCACTCAAAAGGGCCTCAGTTCTAAGAGGGAAATCGGGTATGGGTACACCGGAAGAGTCGTGCATTGAATAGGTTGAGAATTTCTGAGCAAAGCATTCAGCCTTGTTGGCAGAGGAGGTCAGGACCTCAAACTGGTTGAATAAAGGAGGTATAGAGGGTTTGCTATTGTTCAGTACGCTCTTGCAGAGACACCAATAATCCTTGGAGCCGAATTTGCAAGATGCAATGCGTTCATTCATCCGCGCAGCAAAATATATATATATATATATATATATATATATATAAAAGAGGGAATTGAATTGTGCAATCTGTTGTATTTTCTGTGGGGGCTGGGAATAGGAAGAGGGGAGGCAAACTCATATGCTGCCCCGGGTGGCATACACTATTGCTACACCTCTGAGAGCCCCCAGGAAATGCAGTAGCAACTATTTTGGGAATTATTTTACAAGTAGACAATTGTCTTCATCTTTCTTGGTGGTGAGATATGACACAAGGATGGTTTAAAGTGAGGAACTAAAGTGCGTGCACATGAAATAAGGCCAAAAATTGAGCAGTCCCTGTAACCAACATCGCACTGGTGTCAATATTCTAATGAACCCCTCTATAATAGGTCCCTCTGACCTATAGAGCCTAGTACTGAGAAATGTGACAAAGGAAGACATTTTTAAATATGTAAAAACAGTTGAAACATGAAATAAATACTTTATTCCAATTAAATATAAGCTAAATTTTTATTTCACTTTTTGATTGGATGCCCTCCTGACATGGATGCTTGGGGCTGTCGCACCCTCTGACAAATTTCTTCTGCATGCTACATGCAGAAGAGAGGTGTCAGGTGGCGAGAGTTAAGGATTTTAAATACTTATTTTTTATAAATAATTGTTGAAGAAAACTTATCAAAAAAACAACACCCACTCTTCTTACTTAATTATTTGTGGGTGTGCGCTGTTGGAACTAGTTAAAAAACTAAAAGAAAAAAATGCAACACTCACGATAACAGTCAACATGACTCTTCAATAGTTATCTTGTGTACACTGTATAACCTTTTTACTTTTCTTTGTTATTGTTAAATGTTATTTCCAATAGCATCAATGTTATTTTCGGTACCATCATCACTATTGTAAAAAAAGAAATGCGTGCTTAAAACTGTAGTGTTTAAGTTGAATAATTGCTTATTGAAGGCGGATCTGGTAGAGTAACAGGTGAAGTCATATCTTAAATTATTAGTTGTTCATCTGATTGTTTATTAAGGCCTGGCATATACTCGTCAAAATACTGTGATGCGATTTCAATTCATCACTATTTTTTAGTAAAAAGAAAGAACCTTCGTCGTTCAAACGAGGAGGTCATTTAAAGGTGATAAATAAAGAACAATTATTTGTCATAGAAACAAGTTAAAATTTACTCAGGTAGTAAAATAACTGTATAAGAGTCTATAAATGCGCTTTTTAACTAACAAATAAATAAATATATTTCTCTTCAATCTTCTTCTTAACTTACCTCAGTGAAAAAACCATGTGCTATGGAAGTAGAACGTTGTTTCCGTCTGTATCGCTTACGATATAGGCAAACAACTAATTATTACTAAAATATTGAAGAATTTACAAGCAATAAAATATTCAAGTAATCCTAAGCAGTAATCAATTAAAAAAATTAAATAATAACAGAAAATTGAATTTAAAATTCTCTTTGTAATGTTTTAAGCGGCCTCTCAGAAACTGTTCGGGCACGAATCAAAAACAATCAAAAATGGCTGGGATTTTGTTACCGGCGTTATCAACCAAGGAAGAAGTTGACAGGGCTATTCTTTCTACACGGGATAAAGTCTTGTTGCTTCGCTTTGGATGTTCAAGTGACTTGGAATGCATGAAATTGGACGATATCGTAAGTAAAAATGGTATCTTTGTGTATTTATTAAGTTGAGTAAGGCTCTCTTTCCTTTTTAAATTTAAATGTCATTTCATTTTTTATTTTGTTTCTTAAATTTTGACTTAGATTCGAGGTTTTGCGCTCCACCATCAGAAAAATGTTTAAAAGTGAAGCTGTAAGATTTTAAATGGAATTAATTAGTCGTTTATTTTAATTTACTTTTTCCTTTTGGTAGGCCACAAAAATTGAAAGCCGAGAGAGAATCGAACTGACAATTCTCCGTTCTTTCACAATATAGTTTGGAATTAAATTTAAAATAGTTAATACAAAAAAAGTTATCATAAAAAATTTGTAAAGTTTAAAAATAATTAAGGTTCGATAGTAAATTTATTTGACATACGCGCGGAGGACCACTAATTTTTTATTTTTAGTAGTACCAAATGTTTAATTTGTCTGTCGAATTTGCACTATCCAGCTCAAAAAAATGTGTTAACAATCTCCATAAACAAAAATAAGCTATCATTTCGTAAATTTTCTTTAAGGGGAGGTATTGTTGGATGTGCAGTATGAGTAGTTTAATAGGGTAACCGGCGAATTCTTGGGAATTGCTTGAATCTATCTATTCTACACACGCACACCATGGCTTAGATGAGTAGGGTGAACTAGGTTATCTAGCCCTGAATGACAGTCTGGAAAAGGACAGCTCATCATCATAGCCCTGTTCTTTTTTGGGGGGGGGGATTAATCTCACATAACAGGATGGGTCCTGCCTGACAGAGGATCTCTGTTTATCTCTCCACATACACCTATCAACATACTGAGACATGTCATAATGATTTGAGGCAATGTTTTACAAGATTAAACTGCTGTAAGTGCCGGGGTTGGGTGTCTGGAAGGCTGGTTTAAAGTGGGAAACCCAAGTGCGCTACATGAACTAAGGCCAAACATTGAGCAGTCCCTGCAACAATCATCGCAAATCGTATTGGGCGGTGGGCCCTATAAGAAGCACATCTGCCCTTTGACAGGTCTTGTTGTTCATCCTGTGGTGTGACATGTCACCCTTCTCACCAGTAGAGGGAAATTTCTGGGTCATATAATGAAGAAAGAGAATTTAACACTCACATGGCATATTGAAGACGAGAAGTTGGGGGGGGGAATGGTGATTAAGTTTTAAACAAAGAGGAGTGTTCAAGGGTCAAACATCACTTGAAGCCACAAGAAGTTGTGGAGAGCCACGATCTCCCAAATCCTTAAAAGACTTGGCATATAAAAAAATTCTAGAAATCTCTTTATCATTACAAGGTCAAAATAATTCTGATTTTGAATTTGCTAACTCAATAAATTGTAAGGATGTGTGTATAGTTAATTTACCTTGCAAAGTTTCTAGAAAATTACCATGAGATCTGAAATATTTAAATTTGCTTTTATCATAATTGCCACCATTTTTTTTTCTCTCTTCTTTTTTAACATTTGCATATATGTCCAATTTTATCAGGTCTACTTCAAAATATTTTTATATTTTTCAGTTGGCTAAGCTAACAGAAGAACTTTCTAACATGGCTGTGATCTACACTGTCGATGTTTATGCTGTTCCAGTCTATACTCAGTATTTTGATATTAGTTTGATTCCATCGACTATTTTCTTCTTTAATGCTCAGCACATAAAAGTTGATTGGGGGTAAGTGCATTACTTTTTTCTTTTGTTTGTTTTTGTGTGTGTATATATATATATATATATATATATATATTATATACAATGTTGGTTTTTGTTCAGATTTCTAATTGTTTGTTCCTCTCCTATAATTCCCATAATTTTGGTTAATATTTTCCACAATGTAAATTTGAAAAGGAATAATGTACATATCTGATAAATGTAAAAGTTTCCACATATAAATTCTCTAATTTCTAAAGAAAAAAAACTTTCAACTAAGAGTGCTTTATTATGATTTGAGTCTGTTTGCTTTCAGAACAGCACTAGAAATAAATGAAATGGCAAATCAATCATCTTAAAAATTCATGCTTTTTTTTTCTTTCTCTTCATTATATTACAAAATTGATCAAGAAATTGGTGGCGTGGTAGGGATTTCTTTTTTCTTCCTCTTCCTAAAAATGTGATCTTGTCAAGTAAACATAGTAAATCCTTAAAACAAATATATTTCTCTCTGTCTGAATTTCTGAGATAAGGAGTTCTCATTATTTAAACTATTTACATTCAGACTATTGTCCTCAACTTTGTTATTATCACAACATTTCAACCATTGTGGCCTCCAGCTATGATCAGGTGTATATCAATCTGGGTAACCGATATAAAATTCCCTGTAGATTAAATAAAGGATTCAGTTTGAGATTCCCATTTGGTTTGAAGGACAAGTTTCACATATTGGTGATTGAAATTGAAATACAATCTTGAAGGAATTGTCTACATTATTGGCAAATGATTAATATTAGATTACAATAGATTTAAAAATAAAAGCATTCTTTTGTCTTGATGTAGTAGTCATAATAAAATCTGAAGAACTATTTCGATTACAACAAAGGTGATGTCCTCTTATAAGGCACTGTGAATTTTTTTCTCTTTCAACTTTGTTTGATGAACAGAATTAGTGATTGAAATTGAAATATGACCTTGGAAGAATCGTCAAAATTATTGGCAAGTGACTGTCATGCAAGACCGTTTTTCTCATTAGAATCTAAATCTACCATTCGTTCATGCATTGGATAGTGCTGCCATGTGTGATTTGAGGCTTCTGCTACATGTCTAGTGATTCTTAACAAAATTCAAAGAAACTGCAATGTTATTGGTCCTGACCTGGCATCTTGGCTTCACTCACTTTCTCACCACTCTAACATAACTTCCCTGTGGCATTTTCATGTTTTCATTGTCTGATAAACTTTTCTCTTTGCTATCTCAACTTCATGAATTTAAGTGCAGTACTAGATTGGCATTTAGATCTCATAGTTTCACTGAAGTTGCTGGTTGTAACAAAAAGTTCTATGATTTCTTCACCTGCACTTCTTACTTGTGGACCTCACTTCTGGCTTCCTTTTCTAACAACTACAGTCTTCAAAAATTTAAATGCAATGTCAAGTGTCATTTTCACTCTCCTTTAACCCTGTTCTTTTATTGTCCTGTTTTTTTTTTTTTTTTTTTTTTTTTTCTCTTTCAATTACCCCGTTCATCCTAGTGGCTTTTATTGCCTTACTTGGGGTGAAATGATTAAAAAAAAATGCTTTTGTCAATATGTACTAGTCATAATAATAAATCCTGAAGAATTACTTTAACTACTACAAAGACCCCGACTGATGATGTCATTTATTTTATTTTTATTTTTATTCCAGAACTCCAGACCATACAAAATTTGTTGGCAGCTTCAAGACCAAGCAGAACGTTGTGGATGTTGTGGAAGTAATATATCGAGGTGCTATGAAAGGCAAGCTCATTGTGAAAAGCCCTCTAGATCATACTGATGTTCCTTACTATGAACTGATCTACAAAGATATCTGAGAATGAGTTCCACTTTCTTTTCTGCCTCAAATTACTGTGATATTCTACGGACTTGTGAATATAAAAATCGCAATTATTTTTTTATTCTATTTACAAGAACAGGCAACTTTATCTTGCAAAATCTGAGGTGAATCTATGGCGTTTGATGAACAACAAAGATGTCTTTGAACAGTTTTATTAAAAATGTACAGTTTGACTTATATAAATGTTTTTTGTTTCTTTAATGAAACTTAGTGTCTTTTTCCTAATGAATGTTAAATACATTTTCCTGAGTGATTCACCTCTTGTAGTCTGTAATAGGACTTCTGAATATAGATCTTGTACAATCGTAAGTTATTTTTTGATTGTCCTTCTTCCGGATTGTGAATATAGGGGTCTTGTGAATTTGAAATATTACATTTTCTGATTTTCCACTCTCCCATTTATTACAGCCCCCCCACCACCACCACTATCACCATTTATTGGTACCCAACAGATGTTTACTTTACTCAGTGATATTGTAATTCAATCTATAAATTTATTCAAAGTCTTTTGTTAAATCACCTGTGCCACATTTTATCTTTTAGCATAAGAAACACAATAACTGATTTGTGTAATTAAAAATATCTTCATTGCCACACCCAATGAGGATTTTCCAAGGTGTGCTTATTGGTTTAAATTTTTTTCTTTTTTTTTTTAAATTGGTCGATCTCTAATCTGACATCTCAGCTTCACTCACTTTCCCACTGCCATAAAGTTGCCTCCCTGTGTCTTTTCTATAAGTACTTTCATGGCAACTGTTCGGATGAGCTCTTTGCAATGGTACCTAAACTTTACAAATTTCAGATTGGTGATAAGGTCTCATCAATATCCCATTGAGCTAGCTAGATGTAACCGTAAGTTCTACGCTAACAGCTTCTTTTCTCTCACTCCCAGCTCCATGCTTTAGTCATTTTTAATCTTCAAAAATTGAAATTCAATATCACTCACTATCTACTCTCCTGATTGCTAAAGAGTGAGAACAAATGAAGAGTAATGTTTCTGTTATATATCTATATGATAGCTATTTTAAAATAGTATACAAAATATTTACCAGCATACTGAACAGGTTATGAATACTATGAGTTCTTCTGTCTTCATTTTTTTTTAAGACTTTTCTAAAAACATAATTTTACAGTTCACTCATCAGGTTTCAGCACAGCAATTGACTCATTTTTTTTTCTTATATTTATCTCTCTCTCTCTATATATATATATATATATATATATATATATATATATATATATAAAAAAGAAGAGTTCCACAGGTAAGAGAAGAAACTGCTAGCATAGAACTTATGGTTATAGCTACTTAAAAATATGAAATGATAATGTTTATTAAATGTATTTTTTCCCATTTCTTGGCTTCTATGAGTCATTCTTATTATAATCTGTACATTTATATAAACCTACCATTCATCTGTGCATTGTGTACAGTTGCCACATCTGGTATGGTTCAATATATCTCAAGATTCTTAACAAAATTCAAAGAAGAATCTGCAATGTCATCAGTCCTGACATGGCATTGGTCAATTTCCCACTGCCATAATGTAGCTTCCTTGTGCCTTTTCTATAAATACTTTCATGGTAATTGCACTGATGAGAGCCTCGGTACCTTGACTTCACAAATTTAAGCACAGTACTAGATTGGCGGCAAAGACTCATTATTTTACTTGTGAAATTGTTCAATGTAACCACAAGTTCTATGTTAATAGTTTCTTCACTCACACTTCTCACTTGTGGAAATCTCTTCTGGCTTTTTTTTATTTTCCTGTCAACTATATTATCTTCAAAAATTCAAATGCAACATCAATTTTCATTTTTGGTATCCTTGGAACCTGGTCATTTAATGTCCTCTCTATACTCAGTGTTTTTTTGTTTTTTTTCACTTTCAATAACCCCTTGAATCTTAGTGGCTTTATTGCTTTGCTTGGAATCAAATGATTTAAAAAAGAAAAAAAAAATTTTTAAATTACCAAATGTTTGACTTTGTATTAAAGCTCTAAGTAACCAAAACAGTGTATTGTAGTTGGAGAAATTAAGATACACTAAAATGTGTTGAGGTAATGAATACAAAATGATCTAAGGGACTTGCAATTGAACGATAATATGGTGAAGGCTACATCACACTGAATGAAATAAGGGAGATAACTATTAACTGCTAATTATAGAACTCTATCTCATTTTTATTTATATATAAATAATTTAAAAAAAAAAAAAAAAAAGTCCTGGATCAAAAAGATGGCCATCCATATTTCCGTGTTGCTCTGCCCCTTCATACATGATTAATGTAACCTCTCCATGAGTGGCTAGCCCAAAATGTTCATAATCGTGTTACCTCTCCATATATACATGGATGTTTGTGTGTGTGTGTGTGTGTGTGTAACAAATGCACGTTTGCAATTTTCAACGGATTTACACCAAAATTTACATGCACATGTTCCAAGTTAGTGGGAAAGCCAAGACCGACTTTGTATTTCCCAACTCCCATCGATAGTGGAAATAATCGATTTTTTTTCATGCTTCTATGGCAGTTTTCATGTAGTTTTCGGCCATTTTGTACTGGCCAGAGTGAGAGCTAATAGATGGCTGCCACGAAGAAGCAGGAAGATTCTATTGGCCAGCGTGAGAGCCAACAGCTGACTGACACGAATGTTAACTAGCATTCAAAAAAAAAAAAAAAAAAAAAAAATCGATAGCTGCATTTGTCACAAGTCTGATTCCGCAGAACTGAGTTGGGTGTGAAAAAGTATTTGTTGTTTTGTTAACATTCTTTTTTCATTCGGTTTTTCCAGTTACGAGTCCTTTTTTAAAGCTGATCGTTTTGTGTTCATTTTGTTTAGTTCTTTTTTCATAACAGATTTAATGTTTAGAGCTTAGCAAAAATTCGCAGTATGAGATAGGCAAGAAGTAAGGCATGTAGCAACATCAGCATGGCAAAGGGCACTCCTTTAAAGGCAAGGAAGGGCAAAAATATTTTAAGTCAAGCGATATGATTGCTGTATCAGTCGTACAATTTTCGAATCAAGCACTGGCAACGCTGCTAGTATGTATGTATGTATGTATATATTATATATATATATATATATATATGTGTGTGTGTGTGTGGTGTCAGAAAGAGAAACTAATCAGTGACCCCATAATACCAAAGACTTGTTGAAGGTGGCCATCATGGATGTGACACCTAATATGAATGAGAACCACCTGATCCAGGTATGCATTTAATTCCATATTGCTCTTTAGGGCTCTTTTTCCATTTTCCTTGATTGAACGTGTACAAATACTGTGTATGTGTTAAAAGTTCAATTTCTACAATATTTTGCAATTTCACCTCATATTTGGGGAATATATTTGGGGATTTTGCCATCAAAAACTTAATTATTCTATTTATTTTTTGTTTATGAACCTTCACAATGTATTAATTGAAAAGTCACATATATATTATAGTGTTACATAATCACAAGGTTATGTTTTTTTTAAATTACAGAATGAATTTTCTCTAAATTGAGTGTACAATTTTTTTTTCTTAGCTTTATAAATATGTGAACCAAAAATACTACCCCAAAAATTTAGAATTTAACAAAATAAATAAAATATTTCTTTTCCAACATCTTACTGGCAAAAATCCATGTTACATTCAAGTTAAACATGTCATACAAATTTGTCCAAAGTTTTCAATAACATTTGACACCTGACCACAAGTGAAACTCTTATATACAATACATCACTAAAGATGCAGGTAAAATGATTAGTTTCCCATACTGCTCCAGTAAGTACCTGACTCCTCATGCTATCCTCTACCTTTATAAGAGCCAGATCAGTCCCAAAATGGAGTACTGTTGCCATATTTGGGTGAGAGTTAACCTCACTTTCCGGTTTTGATATTCAAAATCATCTCCGAGTCTTTGTTGGAGAAAAATTATTTTCCACCCTCCAACCTTTCACAGGAGTGATGTGATAAATCTTCTGCTGCTCTATTGCTACTTCCATGGAAAGTGCTCGGCTGAACTACATTCCTTAGTTCTGCCAGCTCTGACCTTCACTGCTAGGACCCGCCATGTCACTTACATAGTAGCAAACCATGCACATTCCTTCTGTATTCCATCAGCAAGAAGTAAGTTCCACTCAAACAGCTTCTTTGAACCACTGTTCTGTGAAACAGACTTCCAAGAGGATGTTTCCTTGATCACTACAATCTTAACCTGTTCAAGTTTAGAGTCGATCGTTATCTTTCCTGCATGTTCATATAAACTATTCCTTATTGTAACCCTCTACCTTGAGTGGCTCTCAGGCCTTGTCCAGAGTGAACTTTACTGTAAAATAAAATAAAAAAAATTAACTCGGTGGTTAAAACATTACAGCCAGGTATAGTAATCTCTTGAGTACCACAAACATTAACAAAGCAATCCCCCTCCCCATTTATGTTAACAATTGAAATCTTAATGGTTGATAAGGTTAAGTCTCTGGAAGCTTGGCCAACTTGTTGAAAAAAATCTGAATATGTGATGTTAGTGCAATTCAATTGATATGCCATTAAAACTAAAGTTGATTTTATATGAAAGTAAATTGATTTCTCTTTCAAAACTTTACCAAATTTGAAAATGTACATTTCCCATGTCTCCAGTTGATAACATTCTTAAAACTGTATTGAAATTGTGGGATCATTTAAGTGCTCCCAAACTGTAAGCACATTACACTTGTGGGCACATTTGGGTGCTTCTAACAATTTGTTTTTAACGGGTTGATAATGTGTTCATTGCTATACACTGGTTGACCAAGTTTGCGTGTTGACTTGAAATCTGTGGGTGAAATATGCAAAAATGTCTTTAAAAACCTAAACAACATACACAGGTGAAGCACTAATGAATCCTAATTTGTATTTATATAAAAAAAAAAATAATTGTATATTTACATTTTTTTGTTACTTTGGAGTCAACTGTAGTCAGGATCATCAAGTCAATGTGAATGATCCTTTCCTTAGTTGCTCATAGTATGTGGTTCACCAGGGCAACATACAGTTTTGAATTCAGAGTTGCCCTTTTCCTAGACTGGTTGCTACCCAAGGCTATAGAACCCAGAGATATTGAATGAAATTGCTTTTATGAGGTTCTTGAAGGTTCTTGGTTTTACAAAGGGAGTTCCCCTCCCTCAAATTTTTTGGTCAGATTTTGGGAAGTAGGTCAAGATGAAAACTTTATCAAACCATTGTACAAGTTGGCTAAAAAAAAATTGCATTTTTTCTTACAAATATTTTCTACTGTTCAAATTTCTTGACTATATTGTAATCAGTTTTTGTTTGACCAACTTTTGGCATATAAATGCAAGAATATTTTTTTAATGCTGTGTCAAATGTCATAATTGTGATAGAATGACAAAATGAAGGGAGGTTAAAACAATAATCAGCATATGATGCAAACAGAAAATTCTAAGCCAGAACTAAACCTAGAGTTAATCAATACCTGTCCTAGTGATCTTTGAATTTGCCTTTATGGATCTTCCATCTGTTTCTATAGAAAATGGTAAAAGTTGTAAAGACCATGTAGAGTTCAGGTATAGTAAAAAGGGACATAAAGAATTTGTAACTTAATTTATGGGAAGTGTTGTTACTCCAACATAGCCAAAGATTGACACAAGTGATTTTCTCAAAAGTGCTGGTAATAAATTTCAACTTGAAAGGGCCCACCACTTAAGATACACATTTAAATAGTAAAATTTATCTAAAGTTCAAAAATTTAAAGATTAATCAATCTGATCATGTCAAGTTATCCAGTTTACAATATCTTACTGAATATTCCTCATATCTCTTGAGGAAATAAGAGAAACATTTTTTTTTTTTTTTTTATGATCAAACTTTCACAGCCTCAGCTTTCCATTTTGGGTGTTTCTAAAATTCTAAGACCATGTCATTAACAAGAATTGCTTCCAGAATAGGTTGCAAATTGTTTCAAGTGCTAAAATAAAATAAATTTGAGATTTATAGTTTTTTATATTCTTTGAATATGGAATTTTCTATTTTTTTAAGATTCTTTGCAACTTTCACATGCATATCAATCAATAAGTAAATAAAAATCACACTTTGTAACAGTTTGAAATCAAACTAATTTCATTACATCTTTTTTAATGTACATGTGACATCACAGTATAAAAACTGGTATGAGTTTAAAAAAAAAAAAAAAAAAAAGACGGAATTATGATAAGTTTGGAATGAGTTTCAAAGTTGTGGAAAGTTTTTTTTTTTTTTTAATCATTCAAGAGTTTCAATTTGCAAACATCATCAAGTGATTGAATTTGTGGGGAGGGGATCTCACTAGACTGAATGGTCAATACATTTCTTGTAAGAGAATCAGACATCAGAAAGATTTCCACATCCTCTCTAAGTAGCTCCACTTTTCAAGTTGGCTGAGATTCTAAACATTCAAACAGGTCAACAAGTGAGGAGATATTAAAAAAAAAAAAAGTATTTTTGGTCTTTGTACTGCAAATCTGATTTAAAATAAAAAGACAGGTTGAAATGTAAATTTCAACTTGTTAGATGGACAGAGGTGTGTGAATGACACACTTTCCACAGCATTTGAAAGGGTATGGACATGTCAGCCAACTCTCATTTATTCTTCACATTCACTCAAGGGCAATACTTAGTTTGTAAGAAAAATAGGGAAGAATTATTAGCATTCATTAGACCTTCCTCAAGCCATGATGTTGGTCAGAATCAAAAGGTTTTTCCTTTTAAATTTTAGAAGTGGGGTCCCATTCATAATATAAATACAGTCACAAATAAGCACTTGACTTCTTAAAGAGTTATCTGTACTTTGTTTTTACTTACAAGTGATACTGTGTTTATGTCAATGATAACTGCGTACTATTACAAATAGTCTGCAGTTACCAGCGATGTAAGCACTGTTTCAAACTTGACATTTGTAAATAAAAACAAAGTACAGATAACTCTTTATGAAGTCAAGGATTAATTTGCCACTGCATTGCAAACAAGACTCCACTTCTAAAATGATTAAAAAAAATATCAATATTTTTTGATTCTGACAAATGTTGTGTAAAGGATGTTCTAATGAATGCTAATCTACAAAAAGATTTCCTCATTTTTTTATGAGTGTACAATAAATAGTAGTACCCACTCAAGATGAAGCTGACAAAGGCCAAGGAAACAAAATGGATTATTGTGCTTCTCAAGGTAAAAGAAGGCACAATGCATAAACTCCTTCATCAATAGAGATAGCCATCTATAATCCAACCTGACATCTCAGAAGCAAAGCTAAGTCCATTTGGACCTTGGAGAACTGGGCTGAGTTCAGTAGAAAATGCATTATGAGATTTTTCTTTTATCCAATTATAAGACTATCCCTTCTTTTAGGAAGGAATCATTCTTAAAATCCCATACAGTTTGTTTCAGGTTGTTTCCATGGATATTTCTGCCTGGGATTCATCTTCTTCCATTGATGAATCTGGATCGAGTACAAATTCCCATAATTCTTTCAAGGCACATGCTGAAAAAAAAAAAAAAAAAAAAAAAAAATTATCTTCTGTATCTAGAAGCACCCCGCACCAAATAATAATGATAAACTATTTTTCTTTTGTCACTCACTGCATAATGTAAATCATTTTCCCCTCTATAAATACCAAATTTAGAAAATAAAATAGCTTCTTCATTATAAATTTGAATTTATAAAACTTTTGTAACTTTCAAATCTTTCTTGTAAAGACTTGCAATTCAGTATGTAACAGTAAAAAAAAAAAATCTTTAAAAACAAATATAGAAGCTCTTGTTCCTTTATGTTCAAAATATGTACTTTATCATTTAAAACCTTTTTGGTAATCATAATTCCAAATCCAGATCCTACTCACCCTTGTTGGAGGAACCTCCTCATGATTGACCATTCTTCCACCAGTCAAAAATGAGTTTGAATTACTACTACACCCAAAAGACAATGGTTAGAAGACTCAACATAAGAAAAAATTAATTCCTTTAAATAGTATGTGGAAATAACTATTCTTCACCTGCTGAAAGTCACAAGACCCAAAACATATGTAGCAAAAAATATAGAAAATATATAATAAAGTACAGAAAACATATAATAAAAGTACAATATATAAAAAAAATTCCACGTTATAACCAAAAACATTTGCAGACTCTTCTTTTTTTTTTTTTTTAAATATATTTCAATTAAAATATAGTGAAACTGTTAGCAGGAATTTTTTTTTTTTTTTTTACACAAAATTTATATATATAACAAATAGCCAGATAAACATTTTCTGGTCATCAGATGTGATAAATTGATTTATGGCAAATTCTTATCCTCAGAGATTCTAAAACATTTTCTTTACAATTTTCTTTCATTCTAATCTGAAGAAGCTGAACACAGCAGATGTTCTTTCAGTAAAACATGTTGTTTATAGCTTTTTCACTTTGTCTCATTATCTTCCCATTTGTTATGGATGCTATTATACATCCTGCACACACACATTATATAACACATATACAGGCACAAATAGTATAGAGTATCTAATTAATATGACTTACTGTCAGTTTTCCATTGATCTTCATCCTGTTCTAACATAAGCTGCAGTTGACTAACCAAGATGGTGTAGTTGTGTACACAATCCTGTAGTCTGTATTCAAAGTGTTGGTCTCTTTGGCTGAGGGCATGCAACAAAAGGATTCCCTTGCATAACACACTCATGCACTGGCATTGTGCAAGGTCATCACACTCAACACAAATTGTCCCTTTTGTGTTCTCATTTACACATTTCGATTGATGATTTTCAAGAAGGTCATACAGCAGATTTACACAACATTTCACACACTGACAAAAAGAGAAAAAAGAACTTTTTAAAGAATATAATTTTTAGAGATATTAAATAGGAAAACTCAAATATTAAACAAAAAAAAAAGGTAAAACTTTTCTGTTTTAATATCTGTCTATATTTCTGAGATGAGGTATTGTAACTATTTACACTATTTACATTGTTTGGACTATTCTCCTCATCTTTATTGTCATATTCATGATGTTTCAGCCCAGTAGATAAAAGTGCTGATTGAAGTAATCCAGTGACTTCAAAAAATTGAGAGTTCTGAACAAAAACTTGGAGAGTTGAGTTACAAAAGGGGAAATAACTGAAACTGAGATATCCAGAAAAGGCATGGCAATTGGAACTAGAATAATCTACTCTGGTAGCCGAAATAAAGGGTTCAGTTTGAAATTCCAACGTATATCAGCTGAAGAAGGCTGGAGCATACAACAGCTGAAACATTGTGAATATGACAATAAAGATGAGGGCAATAGCCTGAACAATGTAAATAGTATAAATATAGGTATCTCCACAAATATGCTAAAAAATAATCAGCATACCGTGATGAAAACATAGTTTTATCATCAAAATCTTTGTTATTAAGAGGAAGGATCAAAGTATTTTTTGATTATTTCATTAAATTTTTTATTCCTTTTTAGAACATTTGAAATTTTGATTAAAAAAAAACTTGTTTTTCTTGCATCAGCAATTGTACTAACTTTTAGCATAGCAAATTTTAGCCTCTTTTTTGCGGTAACAGACACATTAATTTGGAAATTCTTGCAAAAATCAAATAATTGTTGGATTTTAATTAAATTTTCAGGACTTATTCATAAATGAATGATGATATTTTTTTAAATTTTTTTTATTAGAAAATCTTGGTAAAAAATTTTTTTTTTTTTCATGTGTTTCACCCCACCCCCCAACACCTTATTTAATTTTATGAAAACCTGAGAAAATCAACATGATAATTTCTAGTGACTATATTAGTTAAAAGTAGAATTTTTGAACAATTTAAATCACCAAATTTTTTTTGCAAAATTGGAACCCATTTTAGCAAAAATCTGTTCTGAATCGAAAAATAAAAATGCAGTAAAACTAAGACATTATTTAATTAGTGAAGCTTTTAATTACTTTTATGAATAATATATATTAAAAACAATATTGTTTGAAGAAGAAAAAAATTTTTTGATAAAAAATGAATTTTTACAAGTTTTGTTTTCATTTTTTACAATTTTAAATTGAATAATTTATAAAGTTTTTATATCTTTTAAAATTCAGTTACAATGTGATAGCTCTTAGGAAATATTGTTATTAAGTAAAATTATATTTACTAATCATATATTGTAATGCTTATTACAATCTGTTAATATTGAATATTTTAAAAGAATTTTGATTTGTTTTTGTATGTGTGATGTCATGCAAAATTTCTGAAGTATGGATGAACAAACCAATAAATCTAACATTAAAAGGTCATGTGTTTTAAGGGTTGCTCCTCCTTATAAACTTTGTCATCTACTTCACCATACTTAATTATGAACATGTTCAATGGTCAATCAGCTGTCAATAAATCAATTAACACATCAGAAAAATAAGACCCTGTGGTTAAAAAATGCTTGTATACAACATTTTATGCTATAAGTAATATTTGTTTAAAATCAGATTAACTTTAAATTTGTTAATTTTTCTCAAATAATGTTTCAGAAATATATATTTCATTTTTGCAAGATTTTTAAAACTGAGAATTAACTTTTGTTTACAAATCTGTCAAAACAGACGATTTTTATTGATTTTACTGAAAAAAAATCAATTTCAATCAATATAATTTCTGTTAGAGGATAAGAGGAAAAAAACACTATTAAGGAGAGAGAACAATAAAAGAACAGGAAGATAACAATTGACATTATATTGCAATAAAAGAACAGAATATAATGATTAACATTGCATTTTTGAAGATCAAAGTTGACTGGGAAGCAATAAGTCAGAAGAGAGTTCCACAAGTAAGAAGTATAAGAAAAAAAATGCTTTTTTTGAAGATCAAAATTTTGAATTTTTTTCTGAAGATCAAAGTTGACTGGGAAGCAAGAAACCAGAGGATTAAATATTAACAAGTAATTTTCATGATATGAACAATAATATCAGAAAGCTCTCTGTAACATTGATCATTTACAGGAAATTTACATTTGACAACTAAACAGTTTTCATGACGTTTCTTTTTTCTGAAAGACAATAGCATAAATTTAAGCATTTTTTTTCCAAAATTGTTTTCTTACATTAAAGATGAATGTAACTGAACCGACAGACTCCATGTGAAGCGTAAAAGTCACCTTGCACCGGGTAATGTTGCTGCAGTTTCAATAACAAGAGAATTTTTATAGGACTGAGGTGCTAGTCCAACATCAAGCATAGACTGCATTGATGAGCTTTCCTCTTTGGTACCTAATCTTTATGAATTTAAGCTCAGAACTAGATTGGCAGCTAGGTCTCAGCATTTTACATTTGAAATTGCTAGATGCAACCATAAGTTCTATGCCAACAATTTCTGCTCTCACACTTATCACTTGTGGGACTCTATTCTGGCTTCTTGCTTTTTCAGTCAACTTTGACCTTCAAAAATTTCAATGCAGTATCAATTGTCATCTTCTGTCTCCTTAATCCCTGTTCTTTTATTGTTCTCTCTCCTTAATATTTTTCTCAGATTCTTTCACTCAGTAACCACTTGTGTTTTATCGTCTTGCTTTTAGGCTGAAATATTATATATATATATATATATATATATATATATATATATTATAATAAAAACATTTTACATCGCTACATAAAAACTTTCATGTTTTGGTACTAAGATGGTACCTCATCAAGCGATAGCAGATAACTATTGATCATTAGTTATCTACTATTGCCTGATGAGGTACAATCTTAGTAGCGAAACATGAAAGTTTTTGTGAAGCAATATAAAATGTTTGTACTGTAATTTATTATAACAAAAATATTATAATAATATTTTGCTCTACCTTGTATTGAGCACTTTTTAAAAAATAAATGCTACAAACTCTTTAATTTTTACCCCATCTGTTCTTTCTCTCATTTGGAGATATTATATATATAATTTGTAATTGTCAGACATAGGGAAAGCTCTTTACTCAGGGTAAAAATCAGTTTTTGTGTATTTCTTAAGCAAACAGACAATCAGAAGAATCACACCATAAATAAAGAAGCTAAGTCTTTTATCTTATAGAACAGTACTTTACTACTGAGATACTACTGCAAGCACATCACAGATGTTTACATATTTTCATTTCATAATAACTTACCTCCATATTGCAAGAACAGTGTGTGTTTAACATGATGGATACTCCAGATGTCTGTACACTGTTGATTGTATCCAAGATGTCTATCACCTATAGGAAGGGAAGACAAATGCAATGATAGAATTCACATTATTGATCTGATATTAAAAATTAATCAAACTGGAATTTTATTATATACACAGAAGTCGTTATCATATATTATCATCAAATATAATTTTATCAAATGATTGTTATCAAAACTAGTGAAACACTTTATTAAAAATGAATGTGCTACTTATTTATAAAATTTATATTATAATTAGTTGAAAAATGAATAAAGGGGAACTACTCTGTAATTAGCCAAACTCCAACTATTTTTAAAATTAGCTTTACTTGCAATCCTACTAATCCTTAATTAAGCAATTTTTAAGATTTTAATGTTAAATGATATTTGAATATACATGCTTATGAATTGGGATCAAATATGGATTGTAATCCAACAGAATGATAATAGAAAGAACAAATAGGAAACATTTATAAATCTAACATTTTTTGTTTTAATTTGAGCTTCATCAGAGAATTCTCTGATGAAGCTTTAATAAAAGTAGAACATGGTAGATCTATAAGCATTTCCTATTTGTTCTTTATCCTATCATACATACTTATAATTTAGAAAAATTGTTTTTTTTTTGTCATAAAGTGTGGCAGGAGATGAGAAGGAAAATTGTTTTTGCATAAAATAATAACTACAATAAAATAATAATACATTTATTTTGTAAATAAAAATGTTATTTCTATATAAAAGTAGGTAAAAAATATTATTTTTGACATAATAAAAGTATAATTACTTTATTCAACAATTTTCAGTTTTCTTTTCAGCTTTTGTGACACACACACTCAGCTATTATAAGAAACATATTCTAGAAAATAATTCACTGGAAAGCACAGGTCCCAACAGAATTCCTCAATATTAGAAGAAGGAATTCACCATACTACATCAAAGTGCCTGAAGAAAGAAGTTGTTCCAGAATGGATGACCAGAATTAGAGCTATCTTCATCCAAAAAGATACTAACAACAGAACTCAGGCAAGTAAATACAGACCTATTGTGTACCTACTCTGGATACAGAATACCTTGATTTGATAAAGAGCAGAGAAAATCTACTATGTGGAGAAGAGGACTTTGACAGACTAAAAAGCATGCTCTACATGGACAAGAAGATTCTGAAATCAAATCAAGACAAAAACATTGTAATAAAAAGGAATGACTATAGGAAAGTATACAACATTATCCTGTCTTAAGTTTTCAATATTAACGAAACAAGGATAAAATTTAAAACTCTATATGGAAAATTCAAAAGTAAATGTCAACATCAAAACAAAATCCTTAGCAGAGCTAAGTATCAAAAGAGAAAATTTTCAGGAAAGTCTGTCTTAATTTTTATGTCCTATCCATGATACCAGTAAATCTAACCATGAAGAATTCAAAGAGGATACAAAAGTCAACTACTTAATGTACATAGATGACTTTGTAGGCAAAGAACTAAAAAGAATTGGAAATGTCAAAAGAAACAGTCAAGAACTCCAGCAATGACATTGGAATGGATTTTGAGATGCACAAGGGAAGGTTTTGTTGTTTGGTACTTTGAATCCATAACAAATAACAATTGTAAAAAATGGAAATTGATCTTAAAGCAAAATGAAAACAGTTTTTCTTTTCTTAAAGTCATAAGATAATAACACTAACCCTCTAAGTCCCTGGAACAATTCAAAAGCTAGGACCTGGAGGCTTAATTAGGGGACATAGTAACTGAAAGTGCAATCTCTGGGTCGGTTAGTACAGACTCAGACAAAACAGGATTAGTAACACCTGAGCAGTACTAAAATGAAAGAATAAAATGAGTCATGGACAGCAAAAGAAGAACAATCCACCTGCATGGTTTAAATAAAGAGTTCAGTTTGAAATTATCTTAAGGTTTCCCTGGATAAAAATAAAAAAAAACAAAAAAAAAACACTTGAAGAAGACTGCAAGTTACAGTTTGTAACTTGCAAGACTTTTTCTCTTTACATTTGCCTATTATATTATTTGGACATTTGTTTAAAGTAGCCGTATTTTATGTTTGTATCTTTGTATGAAGAATCCTTTTCAGCACATGTCCACTGTTGCCAAGTGTAACTTTCTTATAACTTCCTTTTGTATGGACTCACTGCAACATTGAAATGTATCTGTGTAATAAACTTTATATTCATGTAAACAAAATATTACACATTTAGACAAATAGTCTTACTTATATGTTCATCCTCTGGCTGCTTTTGTCATATTTCTTGTTTGTATTTTCAGACTAAATAGTCTTATTTATATGTATTTATTTCTTTTTCGAGTTTTACCTTTTAATAAACCTACTGATGAACAGGACTTTGTCTTTAGAGTCTTCATTGCCTTAAGGTGTTTATCTGGCTGTCTTTGAGAGATGCACACATATGATACAGACACATACTCTTGGAGGCAAAACAAGAATTAAGACAGAGGATAACAATTGACATTGCATTTAAATATTTGAAGATTAAAGTTGACTGGAAAGTAAGAAGTGTAAGAGAAGAAACTGTTGGCATAGAACTGATAGGGATATCTAGCTATTTCAACTGTAAAATGATGAGACTTTGCTGCCAATCTAGTAACGCATATAAATTCATAAAGTCGAGATAGCAAAAAGGAAAAGCTCATCAGAACAATTGCCATGAAAATATTTATAGAAAAGGTACACAGAGCTATGTTACAAGGGTGGAAAAGTGGCTGAAGCTGATATGCCAGGTCAGGACCAGCAACATTGCAGATTCTTTATATTTTATCAAGAATATATTTATCAAAAATACATAGCAGAAGCACTAAAACGGATGCAAGAGTGATATTCAATGCATGGACGAATTGTAATGTTTAGAATATACAATTTTAAATATAGTAATAACAGAAGTGGCTTAGTCTCAAGAAATTGATACCCAGTTACAATGATTTAAAAGACATTTTTTACATGTACATATCGAGATAATATAGATGTGAGTGCTTTTCCTATGCAGTATCTTTTTCAAATAACCTGACCATTCTCTTTGAAAAAAAAATTAGAATATTTTTTTCTCTTACATCACACTTTTTAAACGAGCTCAACTGAGAGTCATTAACAAACTAAATGAATTTACGTCAGACAAGCCAACAAAGAAATATGCATTATAATATACTAGGCTAAATAAAGATAATAATAACTGATGATGATGCAAAATACTTACAGTAGGATAAATTTGGGTCTGTGCAGTAGGATCTTTTACCAGTTTGGCAACCATAGTATACATTGCTGCAAGGGGACATAATTCTGGCAGGAAATTAAACAGGAGAGACATGAATAATTTAAAAAAATTTTTACTCCTTTAAGAAAAAGAAAAGTTTTAAAAATCACCAATAGTTTGTTTTCCATGTCAGCAGTATAGTTATATATATATGTGTATATATATATATATATAAATGAATAAACAGTATAGTTATATATAAATGAATAAACGAGTATAGTTATACGTGTTTTATATATATATATATATATATATATATATATATATATATATATAAATAAATGAGTGTAGTTATATGTGTGTGTGTGTATATATATATATATATATAAAAATGAATAAATGAAAGCGAAATGTTTTGTACCCATAGTTACATCAAATCCAAAATTTAAAAAAGAGATAGTCATGTGCATGTGTAGTACTACCAAAATAACAAATTTAGTCTGATGAACTGAAATTTAACTCTCTCTCTCTCTATACATATATTAAACTCTCTAGAGAGAGAGTTAGATTTCAGTTCATTGGACTAAATTTGTTATTTTAGTATTACGCATGCACATGACAATCTCTCTTTTAAATTTTAGATTTAATGTAACTATGGGTACAAAACATTTCACTTTCATTGCTTGTCTTGATAAAGTCAAAGACAAAACATCTCAGCAAGAATTTTTTACGATTGTCATTTTTAAACCAATTTGTCTTATCTTCAGAATTATTCTGCGAAAATTGTATATATATATATATATATATATATATATATATATATTTTTGTGTGTGTGTGTGTGTGTGTGTGTATATATTTTTCTTTTTCTTTCCATAACTTTTGTAAGTAGGTATTCCACACTGTGATATTAGGTCTGCCAAGAATGGTGAAATGTTGTAATAGCAAGGGCACAAATTTACTGTAAATGACTTTGCAGTTAAAGCACTCTCTAGACATTTCTTAGCAACCCTCTGTCATGTGCATGTGTTTTACAAACATAACAAATTTAGTCTGATGAAGTCCCGAAGGACAAAATGCGTCACAAGTAAACTTTTTCCATTCTGTCATAAAATTTCCCCAGAACTGTTCTTTATATGTAAAAATATATATCATTATCTCAAACATTATATATATATATATATATATATATATATATATATATATGTATGTATGTATGTATGTACACTTTGGGGTAAAAAATTGATATCATGTGTGAGCCATTTCTAAACATTTATTATCAAAGTGACAATATATAATAAGTAAAATAAAAATACAGAAATGTGAGTTAGAAAAGTGGGTGGGCATTTTTAACTTTTGAAACCATTGATTTCAACAAATGGAATTTGTTGCTTACCTCCATCAGTACACAGACATGTTACAATTCTAGGACATCCAATAAGGACTTGCAGTAACTGAAGACCTCTCATTTGAACAGTAATGTTGGAATTGTAACTCAAAGAATGGCAAATGATTCCCCGTGAGACAGCAGGCTCAAATCTAGAAGAAACAATAACATCAGCAATCAGATATACACAACATAAAAAAAGAAGCAATCTTTTTCTTTTTTTTTTTTTTTATTAAATAAACATGATTTAAATAATTTAACATAAAATTTTTAATAATAAAAATAAATCTTAAAAAGTTCTCTAAAATTCTGTTGCCATCAAAGTTGTTCAGTTAATCAAGAAATGATTAAGTATTATATAGTTCAGCTATCTTTTTGTTTAAAAAAAAAACTTCACTGAATACATAGCAGGAAAAAAAAATCCTGGGAACTTTTGCAGACACAAAATAGAATTAGTATTTCAAAAGTTTTTTGAACAACTGTACTCAAAGCTGCAGCAGCAGCAATAGAAAAGAGAAGGTACAGTGACATATCCTTAGACATGGTAAACAGAATGAGAACAATCTACTCCATAGATTAAATAAAGGGTTCAGTTCAAGATTCCCTGAAGGTTAACTGCATCGACAAGCAGCTGCAGCTGTTGCAATTGTACTTAATTTGTACTTTTCAAATTTAGATTAATTTTAAGACAATATTTGTCCACAAATAGCTGCATTTATTGTATTTATTGTATTTGTGTAGTGAAAGAGATAAACATCTAACTCAAAAAAGAATTTGTGTTTTGTGTATGATCTGCCGAAGAAAGGTTACCAAAAATAGTTAGCAAAAATCTGCTACTTTAAGTATAAAAATCTATGCTAATGTTCTTTTCTCCCCTGAATTGCATGGCGAATCAGAAAATCACTCAGTGAATAAAAGCTGTTGTTTTTCACTTACGATGATAGGATTTTTCTGAGCTTGGTGGATAAACATGCGTTTTTGCTGGTGAGAAGTGTAGGTTGGATTTGTGACCCCATTTTCTCATTTCTATGTTGCCTGTTGGACTGTTACGATGGACTATCGTTTGAACTGTAATCTGGCTACAAGTGTTGCGGATGAGAAACAGAAGAAATCTATTGCAGGCGTTTATTGCTACTATAAGTTTACAGTTTTTTTCTTTCTTTTCTTTATGTTATATCTCGTCACCAGTCGTTATATCTCGCAAAAAGATATAATAACAAAGTAAACCCGAGTGATGGTTTAAATAATAATACTTTATATCGGAATGTAGGAATGTCAAAATACAGAGACGGAGTAAGCTAACCGCAATGGTGTAGTCAACGAAGACCTTTGTTGTCGCTCTCTGTTGTCGCTCTGCTCTCGACTGTTTACTGTGGTCGAACTTTATCGGCCACCGGAACGTCCATTTATGGTGAATGGGGAAGTCAGGTTATTTCATCACAACCTCCCCGAAGCTGAAATTCTTCCTTTTGAAAATTTCTGCTTCTAATATCGCCTTCTTTTGGATCCGGACTAAAACGCTCCACTGGTTTTTCTTTGCCGTGTGCTCCTTCTTTCAGTCGTCGCAATTTGATCCTTTTTTGGCGAAGATAATTTCCGCTTTCCAGCCCGTAAGGCTGGTTCATGTGATACAGGTTCCAATACACTATTGGGTAGTGTCATGTTAAAAGCATCGCATAACACTTCCATCGGAATTTCTTCTTCGCTTTTTTCATTTTCTTCACCATATCGTGGTCTAATCTGATTGATGTGTCTTTTACACATAAATTTATTACATTTAATCATGTAGACCACTTTACCAATCCTTTTCTGGATTATGCCATCCATCCAAAAGCTTTTCCCACTTCTAAAGTTTTTAAAAAACACTTTGTCTCCTGGTGTGTATTCTTTTATGTTGACTTTTTCATCTTTTTTAGCAACTTTTTTGTTTTGATAGGGTAACAATCTATCGAAAATTGATCTAATTTTTCTTGCGAACATAATTTCCGCAGGTGACATTTTCGCATTATTGTTCTCATTAGGAGTTACCCTATAGATTGCTAAAAACTTTTGAATAGTTCTTTCTTCAGTGTCTATACCTCTATTTTTACGTAAAAGCACGTTTAAAAGTGTCGACAAATTTCTCGGCTTGACCGTTCGACCTGGGATGGCACACTGGTGTAGTTATGTGTTCAATGTCTAAAGGCGGTACAGAAATCCTTAAATTCCATACTTGTGAACGCTGTACCATTGTCGCTAACTAATGTTCTGGGAACCCCGGAACGACTGAAAATTTCGTCCAATGCACTGATGGTGTTCCTAGATGTAGGATGCTTGCACTTGACTACTTTAGGCCATTTCGATAAAGAGTCCACCAATATCAAATAATAGTGTCCATTAATTGGTCCAGCATAGTCTATATGTAGACGTGCCCACGGGCAAATCCGTTTTAGGCCAAGGATTCATTTTGACCGGAGGTGCCCTTGCAGCCAATTGACAACCTCTACATAGTCTTACAAAATCTTGATATCCTTGTCCATTCCCAGCCAGTATACGTAACTACGCATGAGTGATTTCATCCGGGACATTCCAGGATGACCGGTATGAAATTCTTTCAGTATATCTGTCCGTAGAGATTGAGGTATGACAATTCTATCTGTGTACATCAACGTGTTGTCGCAAATTGAAAAATTGAAATCTGAGTTCCTTTTTTTTCTGTCTTTTGTTCCATTTTGTCTGTTTTTTTAATTTCACAATATAGTGATCTTTTTCCGCTTCTTTTTTTATTTTGTCCAATGTTACCGGCAATTCCCTGATTGTATTCAACAAGAGACCTGAGATTTCTTTTCCTCAGTTAATGCTGCTATAACCGTCTCTTCTAACATTTCTTCATTTTTTTTTTTGAATCAGCCTTGACAATCCATCCGCATGCCCATGTTCTTTAGATTTGACGTATTCCATCCTAAAATGGTAATTAAGCAGGGTTACACCCCATCGCCGTAAACGATTAGCTTTATGCGTAGGAATGCCTTTTTTACTTCCAAATATTGAAAGTAACGGTTTATGATTCGTTTGCAGTACAAATGATCTACCATGTAAGAAGCGGTGGTATTTTTTAACTCCGAACACAATCGACAAAGCCTCCTTCTCGATCTGGCTATAATTTTTTTTCAGCTGGAAGAAGAGTCCTCGGCAGCGTCTTGCGATAGGTTTAGTAGTACCATCTTCATATTTATGTAGCAGTGCAGCACCCTCCGTATAAACTTGCGTCAGTTGCTAGAATGATCTCTTTCTCAGGATCATAATGTGCTAAAGCGAGATCTGAGAGTAGGCATTTTTTTTTTCTGAAAAGCCGTCTCGCACTCTTTTGACCAAAACCATTTCTTGTCTTTTTTAACAATTCGTTGAGGGGGCTCTTAAATCATACATTTTAGGTATGTAGATTGCATAATATTGTGCCAACCCCAGAAACGATTGTAATTTCAAACTGTGTCGGGTGCAGGCATGTTTTTAATTGCATCGCCCTCTGTGGGTCCGGTTTCCTGCCTTCACTGTCTATTACCTGTCCGAGGTACGTAATTCTTTCCATGAAGAATTTACACTTCTAAATTTAATTTTGAAACCAAAATCTTCTAGTCTTTTGAATATCGCTCTGATGTGCGTTTTATGTTCTTGAACATTTTTACTTTTGACTAGAATGTCATCTAAATAGGCGGTACCAAACTCAAGGCCTGCCAGCATAGTGTCCATCACCTGTTGAAACAAAGCTGGGGCGACCTTTAAGCCGAAAAGGCAGCCTATTTAGCTTATAAATACCTTTTTATGTGTATTTATACACAAATATTTCGAGCATTCGTCACTCACTTTAATCTGCAAGTATCGTCAGACAAGTCGATTTTTGAAAAATCTTCCCACCATTTAATTTTGAAAAAAAATATCTTCTGGTGAAGGTAGTGGATAACTGTGATTCTTAAGGCAATCATTTAATCCAGTTGAAAAATCTACTTTACTCTTATTTTTCCATTTTTTCTTCTTAACATAAACTGTGGGTGAGGCCCAATCTGAATGTTCAACCTTAGATATCACTCCCATTTTTCAAGTCTTTCCAATTCCTTATTTATTGTGTCTAAGGAGGAAAACTGGACGTTTCTTTTAGGTTTGAAAATTGGTTTCACATTTTCCTTGAGTTCAAATTTGACTTCCGTTTTGGTACATAAACCCAATCCCTCAGAAAAAACTCTGGGATATTCTTCTTTTAATTCATTTATGAATTTTTCATTTTTAATATTTTTTTGTTTTTCGGCACTGTTTATTACATTTGCAAAATGAGTTAATCGGGAGTTCAAATAAATCAAAAAAGTACTATCCAGTCTATTCCAAAAAAGACATGAATTAATCCCTTGGACTACATACACTTTCGTTTTTGCAGTCTTGCCACATAACGAAAATATTGCACTTTAATTCTCCCTTAAAGTTTAATTTCTTTCCTGAAACCCCTCTAGCGGTTTTTTTTTGGTTTCAGATAATTTAGGTCTTCCAATTTTTTCCAAGTTTGTTCGTCAATGATGCTTATGTGTCTGAACCAGAATCCAGTAGGAAAGTAATTTTATGATTATTTATACGTACATCTACGTACTTTCTATTTTTACCTTTCTGAATTTCTTTTTCTGATAATACCAGACTTACATCTTGTAATTTTCTTTTCTTTCGACAAACCGTAAATTTATGCCCTTTATTTCCGCACGATTGGCAGAATTTATTTTTGTACCAACACACGTCTTTGGTATGACTTTTTTTTCCACACGATTGGCAGAATTTATTTTTGTACCAACACACGTCTTTGGTATAGTTATTTTTTCCACACGTCTCACATTTTTGTACCTTTTTGGCGTTTGGAGTTTTTTGAGTTTTTACGTGTCGAACATTAGCAACACTTTTCTCCTCAATTTGAATATTGTCCCTTTTTACGTTTATGAGACGTTGGCATTCTTTGGTCACCTTTTGTAATGTTATTTTCGAGTCTTGCTCGACCATTTCCAATATTCTCGACCTAATTTCTTTATATTTAGGATCAGTTAGTCCTTGAAGAAAAATTAGGCACTTGAATACATCTTTGGTTATTTCTTCTAACTTGAATTGTTCAACCAGAGAGTTCACTGTTCCCGCGTATGTC